GCGCTGTCATTCCCTCACAGGCAGCCAGCGCTGAAGAGCGATGAGAAGCCTGTGGCCAGTGTCCGTCCTGTGCAGTCCACCCCCATCCCCATGATGCCCCGGCATGTCCCCCTGGGAGGCGGCGTGAGCTGTGCCTCCAGCACAAACCCAGCCGTGAACTTCCCCATCAACTACCTGCAGCGCGCGGGCGTCCTTGTGCAGAAGGTGGTCACCACCACAGGTTGGGTGCTGTCCCTTTTCAAATCACTTTGGTCACGCAGGAATTTTAGTATTTATTAACACCTCAAACCTCCTAAAGTGATGTGGAGTAGGCGCTTGCCAATAACTCCGAGATGAGAAAAAATACAGAGAAATAACCATTTGAACCAACTTTCTAAACCAGAAACTCTATGAAATTTTAGTTAAATCAGGGAAATTGACCCGAAAGATGATCAGATTTCTCAGAAGTTTCTGGTTCTCGGAGTATTCTCCATTAGACAGCTGCGAGAGGACTGCGGGCCTTGCTGTCCTTGGCTCTGACCTTTGCCCACCGAGAGGCGTTAGAGAATCCGCTGAGAAACGGGGTGGACGTGGACTGTGGTTTCCTTCCCTGCTTTAGTCAGGCCCTGTGGAATCTAAATCTGAGGTCTGTGTCTTCAATAGATATTGTTATTCCTGGACTCAACAGCTCCACAGATGTACAGGCGAGAATTAACGCTGGGGAGAGCATCCACATCATCCGCGGGACGAAAGGTGAGACGGCCTGCCCGCCTGCCCGTCCCCTGTCCGGGCTGGGAAGCAGAATCCGTACATCCGGGCAGCATGAGGAAATGACATTTCCAGGGGCTCAGTATTGTGGGCGGGGCCCCCAGGATATCTGGCAGTGGCTTAAGAGAAGGGAGTTAGGGTCCCCGCATCCCTGTATTTTGACATTGTTTTTTTTTTTAAATATATATTTTATTGATTTTTTACAGAGAGGAAGGGAGATGGCTAGAGAGTTAGAAACATCGATGAGAGAGAAGCATCGATCGGCTGCCTCCTGCACACCCCCTACTGGGGATGTGCCTGCAACCAAGGTACATGCCCTTGACCGGAATTGAACCTGGGACTCTTCAGTCCCTAGGCCGATGCTCTATCCAGTGAGCCAAACCGACTAGGGCGACATTGTTTTTATGGAGAATTTGGGGTGGGTTTGGATAGACACTGTGTTTTGTGTCTCAGCCTATCGATTGCAGTGCTGTTGGCTAGGAATGCCTGACTCACCTGGTCCCACCCCACCTGTGGGACCCTGTGGACATTTCCCCAGAGCCAGTGCCGTGGCTGAACCAGCCCTTGTGCTGTTATGACTGGAACACACAGCAGCCATCAGGGAACGTTGTAGATGCAAGAGCATTATTCACAACTTCTGGAGGGTACATTATGCCCAAGGGTCTCACATGGAGGTCACGGGGGAGAAAGAGAAAGAACATGGACCTGGGTCTCTGCCTTTATTAGGGTCCAAGAGTGGGGTGCTAGGCTTTGTGGGTTCACTCTTTGTTGGTGAATTTAAAACAGAAGAGTGGGATTTAGAACAGGAGGGAAAAGTAGGTCAAAGTGTGGTCATTGGGAAAATCCACTGCCTCTGCCTCCTTACAAGGAAGGTGAGACTGCTGGGATGAAATCTGTCAGGACACTGTCAATGCCTGTCATTCCTGCCAGCCTTCACTCTGGGAGCTCCTGAGGCTCGGTGTCAGTAGGAGGTTTCGCCCCGGCCTCTTTTGGGTCACAGTACCTGTAGGCTCAAGGAAAAGATGCTGCTGTGAAATACAAGACACAGGAGGTTTTACCTGCCCCTTACTGGGCTCCTGTGGGCCTAGAGCAAGGGTGGGTAAAGGGCAAGCTCTGCTGTGCAATCAGCCAAATCCAGCCTTTCAATGTCCATAAATAAGTATTTTAGACCATAGCGGCACTAGCTGTTATGCTACAGAGTTGAATAGTTGCAAGAGAGAGCTGATGGCTCACAAAGCCAGAATTACTTACTAATTGGCCTTTTAAGGAAAAGTTTGCCAATCTCTGGCCTGGAGGCAGACCCGATTTTCCAGATTGATAAAAAAAAAACAAACAAAAAAAACCAGCCCTGACTGGTTTGGCTCAGTGGATAGAGCGTCGGCCTGCAGACTGAAAGGTCCCAGGTTCGATATCCCTCTCCCTTCCTCTCTGTAAAAAATCAATAAAATATATTTAAAAAACAAAAACAAAAAACACACGGGATGGTAGATTAGCGTTTGGGAATGGAACGCAGCTCTAGAATTGTTCCCACCAACAAAGGGTATTGAGGCAGGAAGGCGTGGGCCAGAGTGCCTGTGCTCCTCCTCGCCCCCGTTTCTTTCCTCCACTGCATGAGCCTTTCCTGATGGGTGCTTCTGTGCCTGTCCATCTCCCCCAGCGGGCCAGGCTCTAGAGCAGGGCCTGTGGCGGTGCTGATGCAGTCAGTGTTTGTGGAGAAAAGGGCTAATATTGGGCCGCAGCTCCGTCCTCACCAATCATTGCAGACGTCTGAGAGAGGGCGGGAGACCTAGTTTTACAGCTGCTTCCCAGCCCACGGCTGGCAGGAGGGCATTGTCTGCTGCTCACAGTCTTCCTCGTGCTTCTTAGGGACGTACATCCGCACCAGCGACGGGCGGATCTTTGCTGTCCGAGCGACGGGCAAACCCAAAGCCCCTGAAGATGGCCGGATGGCTGCCTCAGGTATCGCATGCGGCTCTGTCTCCCGTTCACCGCTGGACATGTGTTGTATTTAGTTTCACTTGTAATTAATTTTTTAGTAAATAATGTGTATGTGGTTCACAATTCAAAAGATACAAAAAGGGGTAAAGTGAAAAGTAAGTTTTTCTCCTGCCATTCCTCTAGCCAGTCATTTCTCGTCTGTCATTTTCAGAGATATTCTGAATGCAGTACAGGGATGTTTGTGTCTTTATGGATAAAAAGCATGTGTGCCTGTTTGGATAAAAAACGTGTGTATAACTTACCTTCGTATTTTTCAAATGAATGCTCACTTACTATAATACACTGGTTAGTCCTTCACTCAATAGATAGCCCAGGGCTGGTGTCTTATCTGCTGTAGCTGTGCCTCCTGGAGGGCGTGCACAGGATGCGCTGGGTGGGACAGGGTGGGACAGCACTGTGCGTCCCAAGTCCCCTGTCCTGGGGTGCTCGGATTGCTGTACTCCACATGCAGAACTGTCTCCCAGGCACGTGGTGTATCTGCAGCATAATCCCCAGATGTGGGCGGATCACCAGGTTAAAGAGTGTGTGGGCTCATTCACAGTGAGGTGCTCTGGCCAGGCTCCCTGTGGGAGAGCTGCTCCTCCATCCTTCCTCCGGGAGGCACAAGAGCTAGACTGCTTTTTTGTGCACACAGCCAGCCCAGTTGATAGAGCGGCACCGTGAGCTCCCACGGAGCCGCGCCAGCACCAATGACTGTTCCTTTCGCCATGCACTCGCTTTCGTCTCTCCCTTCCTGTTATCTGAACTATTTGCAAATCGAGGACATCATGTCACTTTTACCCCTAAACATTTTCACACACACAGCCTAAGGCCAAGGGCATTCCCCTCTGAGCCAGCAGCATTATCACACGAGTTAACAGCTCCGCATGTGCCGGAGGTCCAGGCCAGAGCCGGTTTTCCAGGCGTCCCCATCAGGCCTCCCATCATCTTCCACAGCCAAGGCTTTTGTTTGCTTTTAAGCCAGGATGGGTGACTTGTTAGAAGCACTTTCCTCTTTTCTTCAATCCTGGTCACTGCAAGCCTGACTGGGGTTAAGACCGATGACTTAGCATTTCATGTCCATGACCTCGTGGGCTTCACCTTGTGGAGTTTTACAGTCAGGGAAAGGAGAGACCTGTTTCCTCGGGGAAAGTTAACTGGGTGACTTTATACATCCAACTATTTGAATTTTGGGGGACACAGGATGGGATTTTTTTGTTCTTTCATGGAACTTTCCCCTGTTTTCCTTTTCTCCCTGGCCATTCTGGTTCTCAGTCACCTACGTTTTGTCCCCAGGTTCCCAGGGGCCTTCTCTCGAGTCTACGAGCAACGGCAGACCCAGTGCCTCATCACCCAAAGCCCCCGACCCTGAGGGGCTGGCCAGGCCTGTCTCTCCCGACAGCCCGGAGATCCTCAGCGAGCTGCAGCAGTACGCGGACGTGGCCGCTGCCCGCGAGTCCCGCCAGCCCCGCCAGAGCTCCCCCAGCTCCGCCGCCGGCCTGCCTGGCCCCCCTGCCCAACTGGTGGACGGCAGTGCTGTGCCTGGGACTGCTCTTGGGACGGAGCCTCGACTTGGGAGCCACTGCCTCAACAGTTCCCTCTTGGTGACCGGCCAGCCCTGTGGTGACCGGCACCCAGTCTTGGATTTAAGGGGCCACAAGCGGAAGTTGGTCACACCATCTGCTGCCCAGGAGTCAGCCCGCCGGCGGTCCAGGAAGGGCCATCTACCAGCCCCCGTGCAGCCGTATGAACACGGGTATCCAGTTGCAGGCGGGTTTGCCATGCCACCCGTCTCCTTAAACCATAACCTCACCACCCCCTTCACCTCCCAGGCTGGGGAGAACTCCCTGTTTATGGGCAGTCCCCCCTCCTACTACCAGCTGTCCAATTTGCTGGCAGATGCCCGCCTGGTGTTTCCAGTGACTACTGACCCTCTGGTGCCAGCAGGCCCCGTCAGTTCCTCTTCCACGGCTACCTCAGTCACTGCCAGCACCCCTTCCTTCATGCTGAACCCCTCTGTTCCAGGGATGCTGCCCAGCTACTCACTCCCATTCTCACAGCCACTCCTGTCCGAGCCAAGGATGTTTGCCCCTTTCCCCACCCCTGTCTTGCCCACCAACCTTTCCCGGGGCATGTCGGTCTACCCAGGCTACATGTCTTCCCACGCGGGCTACCCAGCTGGCGGCCTCCTCCAGTCCCAGGTGCCTCCATTTGACTCTCACGAGGTGGCTGAGGTGGGGTTCAGCTCCAATGACGATGAGGACAAGGACGATGATGTGATAGAGGTCACTGGGAAATAGCTGGGAGCCCCGCTCCACCTCACTCAGGGCCCCAGCAGGTTGCCCACCAAGCTGGAAGGCAGCTGTCTGGGCTTCTGAGAGTAGGGCACTTGGCAGGAGGGGCAGGAAGAGGACAAGGAAGGGGGGTGACCATAGTGGCAGGGCTCTGCTGCAGCCCAACAAAGGCAAAAAATTCCAGCAGAGCAGCAATTGCGGGAAATCAGGGACCCAAACAGGACTGGAGGGCCGGGCAGCCCACCTCTCTTCCTGCTGCCTTGCTTAGCTGTCAGCTTGCCTGCTTGCCCCTCTGAGTGTAGGCACTCACATCCCATCTCTGTCTTTGGGAACATCCCAAGAGACCTGCCTTACTGGGTGACTTAGCTTGGCCTGGAGAGGGGAGGGGAGTGGGGGGGGGGTAGAGAAGGAGTGTGGGCAGGGAGAGGAGACTGCGATTCCACGTGAAGTGGAGTCTTTTTAGGGGGTGGGAAGGAAGCAGACCAGGTATGTGTGCTGTGCGTGTGTGTGTTTATGTGTGTACGTACGTGTATGTAACAGCAGGGATGAAGGTGGGGGGGGAGGAAGGGAGGGACGAATGAGGGGGAAAAATGAATTTATCTTTTTAAAAATGGAAATCAGAGTGTGGTGGTTCATGGCAGTTAGAACGAACGTCAGGGTGAGCCCAGGAGAACCGTGGAAACCACAAGTTTCCTTCTCGTGGGTGAAGAGGAGCCCAGGTAACCTGAGTTCCTGGTTTTCAGAGCCACATTGGTTGTGGAATTTGGGGGAGATAATGGGAGAAATGGGCATTGCCCCTCTGCTTCTCCCTAGTGGCTGCCTCGGAGCAGCCCTTTCCAGGGAGAGAAACTGCGAGGCGGGAGGGGAACCCTGTGCTGTGGGGGAGGCTGGAAGGACCTGCTTCACAGGGATGGACCTGAGCCCCACTGCCTGTCCCAGTGGCCTTTCCTGCCCCTGCCTTCCCTAGTAGAGAGCTCAGTTAATTTATTTCTTATGGGCAATTATTTATTATTTAGACTTTTCATGTGTCTTTTTGTTGTTACTGGTAGTGGGAGGGGGAGGCTGGGGTAGGGAAGAGGGTAGGAGATGGGAAAGGCAGTTTTAAAATACCCCAGACCCCATGGCTGCCGGTGAGCACATCCCCGAGGGCATCCCCGAGGGTGGTGAACTGGCCACGGAAAGAAAGCCAGGCTTGACCAAGGTGTGCACCAAATAGCCATGTTTTGCAGGAAGACCAGGGACTCCTGTGTCTGGAGAATTGGGATGAGACTCGTTCCGCAGAGCTGGAAACGGGGTCATGGAGTTTGCTATTGGGAAGTAAATGACCCAGATTTGGAGTTGCATCCTTAGGCTTAGAGGCAGGCTCGCTGTGCTGTGCATAGATGGCTGCGTTGAGGGAACAGACTTGATTTCCTATTGGGAAATGTGTTGACTTCCCCAGCCTATCAGATGGTCAGTGTGGGCCTGCCGTCTGCTACCTCCATCCTCTGAAGGAACATGGAGGAGCCCTTCCTCTATAGGAGCCTGAAGCCTGGCTTTGTCCTAAAAGAACATACCAGCCATTCTGGGTCAACCCTTTCTTGTTGCCAGTGCCAGGGGTGGGGCCTCTAGTCTAGGCGTAAACACTGGCTGTCTTCGCTTGGCTTTCCCTGCCTGCTGAGGCCGCTCCAGGCAGGTCTTTATGATGAACACACCGTGTCTGTCTGCAGAGCTCCACTCCCTCCCAGGGGGGTCCTCACTGGGCAGCTGCTGCCCCTGCCTCCCCTGTCCTGGAGGCAGTTTAGTCAGGTCACCCCTAGTAGTAGCTGCTTCTGTAACTCTTCCACCAGCTGGTTTTCGTTGTTGGGGGGCCTTACACACTCGGGGGTGTTGTCCCCAGAGAAGAGATGAGGAGATGGCTGATGGGGGTGTGCATGTATGAATGTGAGTGCGTGTGCACGTGTGTGCGCGCGCGCGCGCTATCCAGTTACACCAAGAGTGGGACTTAAGGCGCTTTTTTTCTCTTTTCATAAGCACCCTGTCAGACTCTTAACTCTCCTACTCATAGAAGCCTTAGACCTACAATTTAGCTATGCAAGTTATTTTAGTAATTTAAAATAGCATTTCACCAGTGCTCTCTCATATGCACCAGGAGCGGGTGGTGAGTGGACTCAGTGTGGGCTTTCAGGTTGAGGCTGGTGCTGAGGGCGTGAGCTACCCCAGGTCTCCGGTTTGCAGAGCGCACTCACACCCTGGGCCACAGTTGATACCTCCAAGGCCCCAGAGCACTGGGATCCCAGAGCAGGTGTGTGTGTGTTCTAGGAGGGGTCATTCTGTGTGCACCTCTAAAACATCATAGCAGCAGGCTCCAAGAATCCACAAACTATTCCAGCAAGGAATTGAGACCAGTCACTGGAGGGATGGGCTTTGGAGGTGTCGGGAAGTGAATGGGTATTAGGAGAGGCAGTGTGTGCCTGCTGTTGCAGTGCTTCCAGGGGCTGGGTCTTGCTATAACTGGGGAGAGGCCATAGCTTCAAGAGCAGACCCGGCTGGAGAAGGCTTTGTTCGATATGTGCAGCTTATACTGTGTAGGCAGGTGGGGGTGGGGTCACGGGAAATTGGGGTGCTACCAGTTCCATGTTTGTTTTTTTAATGACCGTGAAAACCCTTCTGACTTCCCTGCTGCCTCTTCCTGTGTGCTGGTAGGCAGTGAGCATGTGTGTGGGGGAAGCAGGGACTGTCTCAGAGGCCATGGGCCATATTCTACAGCTGCTTTGATAGAGACACTTGCTGGTGGCCTCCACCTGCCATCCAGGCCTGCGTGAGGGAGGGATGGGAAGATGAGGGAGGTGGGAGACCGGCCCGGGCACTTCCCCTCCCTCATCTTCCACAGAAGCCCTGTCTGGCTGGTTCAGCCTAAGTTCTCACCAAGGGAATATGGTACAACTTGCTTCAGGATTCCATGTGTAGTGATGTGTGATTTCCTTTTCTTAGTATCTGTGGATAAAAATTGAACAGAGACAGAGTAGCCACTTACGAAAGTAAGTGAACCCTGTTGGGTCAGATTGGATTCTGCAAAGTCCTCACCTTCTCGAGTTGTGCTCAGCACCTATTTTGTCATCTCCCGACTTCGGGATAACGCTGGTCCTTGGCACTCTCTTCCGTAGGAATTAGTGTCTGAAGTTTATATACTTGTGATTCACAACTAAATATATTTCCCACTCCAGGGTCTGAAGCACAGCTAGGGGAGTTCTGCTGATGGGTGGAAACAGACAACCAAACCTTAGGCGTCTGGAGGGGACCGTCACTCCCAGGGTCGTCAGCAGAGCAAGTTGTCCGCTTCCGTCTGTGCAAGCCTGGCCTCACCCCGGAACTGAGTGCCCCTCCCATGTGGAAGGCCTGGGGGCTTCACATTCCTTGTTCCTAGTGTTCCTGGCCATGACCCTTCCTCCTGTTTCCCAGTTCCCTGTGATTCCTCAGAAGACCAGACTCCCTTCCGAACCCCGGCCTCCTGTACACCCAGCTAAGCGGTTCTTTTGCCACCAGAACTCCTGAGGAGCTCCCTTCCCCAGTGGACCCAGGAGACTTTCTGGCCCTCTGCTCACTGTTCCAGGAACCTGCCCCTCCAGGCCTGCCTGAGTGCTTCACTCTCCATCCGTCGCCCTCCCCATCTATTCCCCTCCTACTGGCGCTTCTCTTCTGCCCTGTGTATTCCACTGTTACCCTAAATGTCTGTCTGTGCCACTAGCTTGGCCCTGGGCCTTTTATGAATACCCAAGTCTTAAAATGAACTTCCTGAGCAGGCGATGTCCAACTTCTTTGCTCTCAGGGACTGTGTCTGCCTCTCCCCTCTCTCGGGCCTATGTGACTGAGGAAAAGGTGCATCTGAGTCCGGGAGAGGTAGCCAGGCAGGCTGCAGAGTCTTTGGGGCAGAGGCTGGGAGAGATTTGGGTACTTTGTTACCACTACTGGGGTGATATTCAGAAGAGGGGAGACCTCATACTGTTACCTGATCCAGGACCCTCCTCTGGAAGAGAGCTCAGCCCAGGTGTGTGTGTGTGTGTGTGTGCGCGTGCGCCCGTGCGCGCGCGCCTGTGAGTGTGTGTGTGCATATGCACACACCTGCTCATGTGCACATGAGTGTAAACTGACTTGTCTGGTTGTGTTACTCAGGGTGGGCTGGGGACTCAGCAGAAGAATCCCCTTAGCCCGCTCAAGACTGGTTTTTTCCTGTACCCTCTCCAGAGGGGTCGGGAAGGAGGTCCAGGTGGGTTGAGGGGGTCGCAGTGGATAACCACTAAGGCCACATTGCTGCCAGGAGTGGGGGCGGGGGGGTTGGGGCCCCAGGGACCTGGCACCTGGCTTTGGTTTTCCGTCTTCTTTCCTCAGGACGCCCCCTGAGGCCTGGGATTGCACCTGGCTTTGAGGAGCACCTGTGGCTGGTGCTCTGCCGGTGTAGTCATGGGCTTCCCTCCTCTCGCAGGGCAGGTGCTCCTGCCCCAGAGACTGGGCAACTGGCTGTTTCTATGACGTATTTATTTTTACTTGTGTTTCATGTCACTTTTTTAAAAAAGCAAACAGAACAATTGTAAGTCAGTATAACTGCCTATCAGTTTTCTTTATTTCTCTTTTTGTAAAATAAAATTTAAACTCAAGAAGGCAATCTTGTTTGATCAAGGAATTGTCTGCACAGCTGTTTGGCAAGTGGTGAAAGGGATGTAACAGCACAGAGGGATAGCATGGGGGGGGTGGGGGGTGGCAGACAGACCCTGCAGTGATCGTGGCAGTGAGCTCGCTAGCCGCTTCCTGCCTTTGCTCATCTGACAGGACTGCCTTTCCAGGCTCCAGAGGACAGTGAAGCTGCCTCAGGGGCCGTGAGGCTACCCGGGCCTCAGCCTGCAGAGGCTGAGTGGCTGGGGCCTGGCAGCACCACATGAGCCTTCTCCATTTGTCATGAGTGAGAGGATTGAACCACTGCCTCCCAGAGAACTAGCCAGGGCTTTGAAACCTGAGGAGCTGGGGGACAGAGGGGAGTGTCCACTCTTCCCTGTTCAAGGGGAGGAGCCCTGGGAAAACTCTGGAAATTTACTGAGGGAGCATTAAAGAGCCTCTGTGGGGATTCCTTGGACAGAGGAAAGCAAGAGACAGGGCAAATCGGGGCTCATGAGGGAGAATATGTGCTACGGGGACTTAGGACTGGAGTGGAGCATGGGTGGGGGCATAGCTAGGTGAGCTGCTCTGCTCAGACGCTGGGCCTGCCCCCCAGGAAAGTGCCCTGGCTTCAGCCTCCTGGTGGCCATCGGAGGCCTTGCAGGAATCCTAACCAAGGGCGGGGCTTGCTCTGAGAGGAAGTGTTGAAGGCTGATGGCTTGCAGTCCCAGTCACAGGCCGACTCCTTTCCGACAGTGGCGCTGAAGCAACTAAGGCACACCCTGAATTCTGACGTGGGGCGCTGGAGTTCCCCGACCAGGCTAAAGGAAGTGAGCAGTGCCCTAGCTGGTGTGGCTCAGTGGACAGTGTGTTGGCCTGCGGACTGTTGGGTCCCGGGTTCGATACCAGGTTGCGGGCTCAATCCCCAGTGAGGGGTGTGCAGGAGGCAGCCGGTCAATGATTCTCTTTCATTGATGTTTCTATCTCCCTCTCCCTTCCTCTCTGAAATCAATAAAAATACATTTTTTTTAAAGAAGTGAGCAGAAAGGACCAGATGAGGAAAGGGCAGCTCCAGACAAGGGTTTCGAGGGAGAAGTCCCCAAGCTTCTGAGAAGCAAAACCCAGCGCTATCATGGCCAGTGCACAGGCCCTTTGGGCACCCAAAGGTTTGATCACGTGTCTGATGTTCACAAGCAAAACAACTGCCACGACCCTGGCGGCTCAGCCCCGAGTGCCTGTAAGGGGCCGGCTGCCCAGAGGCTGGCCCTGTGGGTGAGGAGGGAACGGTGTGAAGCCGGGGGAAAGGAAGCCGAGATTATGAGAGTCTCCGTGTGTTCAGTCTGCAGTAGTGGGCAGTGGGCTCTGCAATAAGACGAGTGCCTTCCCAAGCATCAAACTTCCGTGTCAGGTGCACCAAGGTGACGCGTGGCCCAGCAAGACTTGCTTCCACTGCAAGACTGGGCCTCTCAGGAGGGCAGGGTTTTTACGGTTTTACCTTTGGGGCCCTAAAAGGCCTGTAGGTCCTCAGAAATAGGAGCTGAAGATGGAACCTGTCTTCAAAGAGCTCACACTTGGCCGGGGAGTTAGCTGGTACACGCTCAGCTGAGGGCAGACCAGCCTCCCGCCGCTGCATCCAGGGCCAGGAGGACGGAGCCTGGGAGGGGGCGTGGCCCTGGCGAGCTCCCCGGGGATGGAGCCTTGGTTTTTTGTTACTCGGTATCCTCACCCCTAGGACTGTCCTGGCATGTTGGCTGGGGGACAGGTCCCCCCTGTGCTTTGGGTGGCGGGTGGAGTGCAGTGGAGTTGGAGGCAGGAAGCTGATATGTGTGCTGTCGGAGGTTGGCTACACTAGCTTCTTCCTTGAGCTCAGATCGGGCCTCAGTTTACTCCGCTCTTAGACGGGAGCAAGTGGCCCTGCCTTGCTCTGGTCCCAGGTCTGTCGGGAAACATCAGTGAGAGAAAGTGGCAAAAATGCCGGAAACCTCGGCTTCCCGGACCCTAGCCTGGCTCCCCATCGCGGCCCACCCGGCAACCTTACCTTCACGCCTGGGGCCGCGCCGTCTCGGTGCCCTCGCCAGCCCAAAGGCCGAGGGCTTCTCGCGCTGGCCCCTCGCCAGCCCCGCCCGGTGCGGGAGGCAGGAAGGTGCCGGGCGCCCCGCCCCCTGACAGCTCTCGAGGACAGACGCACGCTCGTTGCCGTGGAGACGCGGAGGGGCAGGCCGCCGCCCTCCCGGCCCCGCGCGCACGCGCCCACGACCACGGCCACGTCCCTCGCCAGCCCAAAGGCCGAGGGCTTCTCGCGCTGGCCCCTCGCCAGCCCCGCCCGGTGCGGGAGGCAGGAAGGTGCCGGGCGCCCCGCCCCCTGACAGCTCTCGAGGACAGACGCACGCTCGTTGCCGTGGAGACGCGGAGGGGCAGGCCGCCGCCCTCCCGGCCCCGCGCGCACGCGCCCACGACCACGGCCACGTCTCCC